AAGAGAGTTTGATTTATTTGAAATTGTCAAACTTAGGTTTTCCAGCTCACAATTTACTGTAAAGAAAATTGTTTTTATATTGGAATGGGTATAAAAAAGATTAATGCCACAAGCGAAAAGAACAAAATTTGGCATGTTTTATGATAGATAGATATAATTAACATAAATCAGAAACAATAAGAGTAGAGCCTTGAGGAACTTCACAGCTTATTGTTTCTAACTTTGTAAAGGTTGAATCATAAGATAATCCTTATTTTCTATTTTTAAGGTTACTTTGTTGTCAGCTTAGATTGCTGTTTATTACTCTATATTTTTTTAGTTTGTAAAAGAGGGTTTCTTAATCAATAGTGTCAAAAGCTTTTGACAAGTCGATAAACAAGCCGAGAGTATAATTTTTGTTAGCAAACTCATCCAAAGTTTGGCTAGGTAAATCAATTGTTGCATGATGATTTGTATTACCTTTTCGGAAACCAGTTTGTTTTCAAGATTTTTTTTGGTGATTATAATTCAATATCAAGCTTAATTGCATCAATCGATTGGGGTATTTTATTTCTACACAAAAATGCGGATTAAATGTTCAATATAATAATTTCTTATTATCGTACAGCTTGCGAATTTTTTATTCCCAAGATTAAAAAAAAAAAAGTATAGTCCTTGGGTTACTCTACATATTAAATGCTTAATCCGAGCAAAAAAATTGGCTGGGCATATAAACTGATCAACTAAATGATAGAATAAAGATCTCAAAACTAGAATCGTCTAACCTAATTGTCTAGAAAATTAGAATCGTCTTAATCGTTTCTTAAAAGCTGAAATATTTAAAGCAAAAATGAAAAGAAATAATATCAAAATATCAAAGCAACCCAAAACTCACCTACAAATACATTAACAAACAACTAAAAAAAAAAAGATAAAATTTGGTCTATCAAAAATGCTTCAGGTAAAATTAATGAAACTCTTCCCGATATACTTGAACTTGTGAGCTCTCAAATCAAATTAATGTTTACTCTTGAAAGCTCCAAAAATTTTCCATTGTTAATAAAAGTGAAGTTAAACCTAAATGTAATTATAACAACATTTTGGATTTCTCTATTGCAGACATTGTTAATGAACTTACCAGTCTAAACCCTTACAAATCTTTCGGACCTGACGGCTTGTGCCCTTTAATACTTAAGATATGTACCAAAAGCTTCGCAATTCCGCTTACAAAAATCTTCTATGAATCTTTTAATTCTTTAATAGTACCAACTCTCTGGAAATTAGCAAATATTAGTCCAATCTATAAAAAAAGGGAGACAAACTACTTCCTGAAAACTATCGCCCTATTTGACTAACCTCGGTTGCGTGCAAAATATTTGAAAAAGTTGTAAAGAATAAAATCTTGAAGCACATCAACGATAACAATCTGCTCTCTACAAATCAACATGGCTTACTTCATCAAAAGTCATGTGTAACCAATTTAATAAAGACTTTTGATATTATTTTGTTTTCCCTAGCATCGCACCGGTTTATAAATGCAATCTACCTCAACTTTGTTAACACTTTTGATTCCGTACCTCACACCAGACTCATGTTAAAATTAAAATCATTCGGAATAAACGGCAAACTACTACAATGGATTAATTCCTTTTTATTAGGTAGAAAGCAACGCGTTACAATTAACAATATTAGCTCTGACTGGGTTGATGTTCTTAGTGGTGTTCCTCAAGGTTTTGTTCTCAACCCGCTCCTATTTATTATTTTTACAAACGGTCTTGCCCAACTTACTAGAACTTCTTAAGTATTTGCCGACGACACTAAACTTTTTTCTAAAACTTTATCGCAGATTCATCGCTAATTTCATTATTCTGCAGGATCGTCTACGCCTAGTATACGAGTGGTTAAACACTTGCTTACTTAAATTAAACACTTCAAAATGCTGTGTTATCCATTATGCTAAACCCAATCCTGCGTATAGTTACTTTTTGCAAAATAACCAAGGTATAAATAAAAGCCTAAGAAGCTCTACTAAAGAACGTGATTTAAGAGTCTAACCTCAAGCGGAGCACACATTCAATCAGCTGTCTCTAAACCTTTACCTATATTCTTGGTCATCTTAAAATAAAACCATCTTAAAATAAAACGTGAATATGTTCCAAACTGTCTTCCAAGACACAACCAACTATATAATAGATCAGCAAAATACTGGAATGAACTACTCCAGCAAGTAACTTTATACTTAACTTTACTTTCTTAAAAATTAGATTAGATCACTGGTAAGGATAAAGTTCGGAACGAATATTTATAAAACTAGTTGTTTATAGTAGGGTGTTTTCCCTGCTCGCTGTATGTATATATTGTATGTATATTTTACGGCTACAACTATAATAATAATAATAATAATAAAACTTTTTTATTTTATATTTTACTCTTAAAAAAAAGTTAAAAAACTTGCTATTATTTTCAAAGAAATCTGAAAAATGAGAGATTTTTATTTAATTAAAATTGAGACTTCATAATTTAAATGTTTGTATTCATTTTTAAAATTATCTTTTGGCTCTATAAATATGTATATCTAATTTTTTTAAATTTAAATTCAAAGAATTTTCTAAATTAATGTAGAAGAACTTTTATTTAAATTTGCATTCATCAACAAACTTCAAATTTCATACAATAATCAAACTCTGTGTGTGCGTGCGTGTGTGTGTGTGTGTGTGTGTGTGTGTGAGTGTGTGTGCATTCGACAAACCTATACGTCATACCCTTGTGGAAATATACAAAAGTAGCTTGAATACGTATTACATTTTCAAAGCCATCTTACCTTATTTATGTATAGGCCTATAATTAAAATGTATGATTCATATATATAAAAGGTATGTTTTTGAAAATATTTTGTAGGCGTGTAAAAATAATAGAAAGAGCTTAAGAAATCTAGTCATAAACTTGCCGAGTTTAAAGCTCGCAAAGTAGAAGCAAAGTTTGTTTAATTTGTATTAAAAATGAAAAAATAAATACAAAAATTTTATTTTCGAATTAACTGTTGGGGTTAATTGTTGTAAGTAATTGTAAGGAATAATTATTGGGATTAATTGTTGGAATTAATTCAGGGCCGACGACACGACTTTTGAAGTTGAGGGGGTAGGGGGCTGAGGGCACAGAAAAAATTCTCTATATCTTAAAATTTCTTTTCTCGCATGTTTAAAAATTTCAGATATGCAACATTTCTAGTTATTTATAATTACTCCTAATTACTAAAAACTCTACTGTTTAACCTCGATTCATTTTTTCGGACGTCAACGAAATTTTTTAAAACCCAGGTTTTCCAGCTCCCGATTTTTTGTCTTAAAAATTGCACTACGGTCTGAAAATTTATACACATGGGTGTGATATTATACACATGGATCTGATATTATACACATGGGTGTGATATTAGCCTTACATAATAACCTCTGCAATATAAGTCTATTTTTTTGATGTTTTTAAAACTTTTTTTTTAATAAAGTTATTGTTATTTATGCTATAAAATTAACCCGTGCAAAGAATGGGTTGTTTCTTAATGACATTAAAAAGACCTATTTTAATACAGTTTTTTTACCTTTGTCTGCAATCACTATCCAACATCCTGATGTTTTATGTGCAACCACTATCCACCATCCTGATTTGTGTAATCTTCTAGTATATTTTTTTCTATTTTCTATTTTTTCTTGTTTTATTTGATTTCACTATTATTATTTTATTTTATTTAATCATCAGTTTTCATGAACTTTATTTTTATTTAATGATTTTTATAAGATTTTGAACTCTACTTTTTTTAAAAACAATGTTTTAAAAAATTGACTCAAAAATTTTTTTATATGCTCAAAATATTATAACTTTTGATAATTGTAATTAATTACTAAATCACAGATAAAAAAAAAAAGGAATTAAATTAACATGTTTTTTATTAAAACTAAAATAAAAAATTATCTTCGTATAAATTTTTTACAAATCAATGTGGTTTTGAATAATGACATATTTACATCGGTTGTTTCGAGACAGCTAACTTATCGCAAAATAAATGGAAGTTTCGAATGTTTATTTAAATATTCTAAGTATATATAAATATGCTACTAGATTGATGTTTCTTGACAGCCAATTATAAAAACTTTACCAAATTTTTTAAAAATAAAAAGGCGAACTGATCTTTTTCATCCATTAATACGCTTATAACAAGCTGGAAAAAAAAAATACAGTTCCACTGTTATTTATTAAATATGCAATAGTAAAGAATTCGCTTTTAAAAATTTTGATAAGTAGCTGAAATTAGTAAAGTAACTTGTGACGCCATTTCTGATTGCATTAAAGATCGTTCGTAGATAAAATGTTGATAAAATTGTTGTGCAAATAAAATGAATGATATTATATGATATTTATGATAATGCATTCTTTGTGTTATTTCAGCTATCTGTTAAGTATGCGTGTGGTTTAGTTATATATTTTTTTTATTTATGGAGTATTTTTGTTGTTAATAACAGTGGTTGTTGAATTTATATGACCAACTTTATTACTTGTTAGCTTTCGTATGCTGCCTGTGAGAGAGGAATTTTCATTTTTGTTCACGTAGGCAATTATTTTTCTTTTGACGTAATCATTCGATTCAGTATTGACGCCATTTATTGAGTTTATTTCGTTTGAAATCCCATTTGGAATTTTTTTCTTTTTTAGAGAAGAATAGTTATTTAAATTGTCAACTTCTTCATTAAATTGATCACCGATTATGTTAGCATCTACACAAATAAATGTAAAATACTGAAAGTAATTATTTTAAAAGCAATTATAATAATTGATTTAAATTAATGTTTTTGTTATTTAAGACATTTGTTTTAACATATACTTTCCCCTGAAGATTTTATGCAAACAGTAAATATTTATAAAATATATATAGTTAATATTTATTGTAATTGATATATAGATTTTGTATATTTTTAGTTATATTATTTATAAAGTTGTTTTACACTGTTTAATAATTAGATACTCATGTACCGTTATAAAATGATTCTTACCAATTAATGCGGCTTGAAGAAGCTGTACGGGTTGTTTTAAAGTTTGTTCAGGTTTATCCATCAATCTTTTTTGTTTACCCATTCTTCTTAAACCTTCTAAATCAATGTTAAGAACGTCATAGTCATTTAGTTTATTTATAGACATTTCATCGGTTATTGTTGGAGATAAAGAAACCCCAATTTTAGGTTCTTTTAAATTTGTTACAACGTTTGTTGGATGACCTATTCCATCAGAATTGTGGTAGTCTGGTGTCTTTGAATTCATAATTGCGTTTATACCGTTTACTACTGTATTGCTACCAATGTTTGTTCCAGTAGACGCTGGTAGTTCTAGCTCTAAGCCAAGGTCACTGTTTTCATCCATGTCGCTTATGTTTTCTCCAATACTGTCGCCGTTATTAACACTTGTAATTTTTTTTATCTTTTGTGCTGGAAACATTTTTGATTGATCAATGACCGGCTGTACAACTTTTGATTGATCAACTAACGGCTGTACAATTTTAGATTGATCGACTATTGGCTGCACAAATGAATCTTGCAAATAGGGTTGGCTCTCCATTTGTTGCTGAATTTTGGCTTGCTTCAATAGATTATTTTCATCTGATGATAAATCATCCATGTTTGCGAGATTTCCTACTACACTCAAAGACTCAATGTCTGGTTCTATAGACGATGTGTATGAAGTGCTTTCTAAAAGGTTTGTTGGCAAAGTATTAGGATTGTTTATGGGATTAGCAGATTGATCATTTAATTTAGCTCCTTCTATCTCAGTACCAGTTTTGTTTCCTTCTGTTGGTGTATTTAATAGTTTATTTCCTGCATTTAACGTTGATTCAGCATTTTGTAATTCACCTACCTTTGGTAAATTAGTGGCCGATCCAGAAGGTAAAACATTTACTGATGGATTATTAATTGCTTTTACTTTACTTCCTGTAGGTTTCACCACTTTTGTTTCGTTTTGCGTAAGCGGTGATCCATCTGGCTTAAGAACAGATGCTATTCCTTTTGCAAGCTTAGTTGCATCAGCATGATTCAAATGTGAAGGTAAACCAGATATTGTAAAACCCCCGTCCTCATTTTTGTGTAACTTTAGTTGAGTTTGTTTGTTTTGGGTAACATTTTTAATGACAGAAAGGGCATCTTTAGCATTTTTTGCATTCGGATTTCCAAAAGGTACGGCTAAATGAGTTATCTTAACTTTTGCTTTATTATCAGACCCATCGTAGTCAAACTCCTCATTTTTTGGAGCATTTAAGAAGTCCAGATTTTGTGCAAGAGCGTCAGTTTCACCACCTGTAAGATGTTGTAATTTAAAAAGATTAACTTTGGAAAGACAAAAAAATTTAATTATTTAAAATTGTATTAATTGTTATAATGTTGTATTAATTGTTATAATGTTGTATTAATTTTATTTACAATTATTTAGCGAGCAAAGTGTAAAAATTTCAAAACAGAGTGTACAAGTTAGAACTCAACCAAAACTAGTAATCATATTATTTAAATTTAGTAATCATATTATAAACTAGTAATCATATTATTTAAATTTAGTAATCATATTATAAACTAGTAATCATATTATTTAAATTTAGTAATCATATTATAAACTAGTAATCATATTATTTAAATTTAGTAATCATATTATAAACTAGTAATCATATTATTTAAATTTAGTAATCATATTATAAACTAGTAATCATATTATTTAAATTTAGTAATCATATTATAAACTAGTAATCATATTATTTAAATTTAGTAATCATATTATAAACTAGTAATCATATTATTTAAATTTAGTAATCATATTATAAACTAGTAATCATATTATTTAAATTTAGTAATCATATTATAAACTAGTAATCATATTATTTAAATTTAGTAATCATATTATAAACTAGTAATCATATTATTTAAATTTAGTAATCATATTATAAACTAGTAATCATATTATTTAAATTTAGTAATCATATTATAAACTAGTAATCATATTATTTAAATTTAGTAATCATATTATAAACTAGTAATCATATTATTTAAATTTAGTAATCATATTATAAACTAGTAATCATATTATTTAAATTTAGTAATCATATTATAAACTAGTAATCATATTATTTAAATTTAGTAATCATATTATAAACTAGTAATCATATTATTTAAATTTAGTAATCATATTATAAACTAGTAATCATATTATTTAAATTTAGTAATCATATTATAAACTAGTAATCATATTATTTAAATTTAGTAATCATATTATAAACTAGTAATCATATTATTTAAATTTAGTAATCATATTATAAACTAGTAATCATATTATTTAAATTTAGTAATCATATTATAAACTAGTAATCATATTATTTAAATTTAGTAATCATATTATAAACTAGTAATCATATTATTTAAATTTAGTAATCATATTATAAACTAGTAATCATATTATTTAAATTTAGTAATCATATTATAAACTAGTAATCATATT